ATCTTCATCTATTCCCACTGCAGTCAGCGACTCCCTGGGGCTATGGGAAGGTATCTGGGAAAACTGTGAGCTTGCACATGAGCGTCGCAGGTTAGCATGAGGCACAAGTGCTCAGTGGGGGCTTGGCACCAGGCTCTATCCCACCCACCAGGCATACCCCCACGCTGTAGGGCAATGCAGGACATTTCTGCAGGGCATGGGCTGATGGAAGGCCACAGCAGTGCGGTGAGCCTGAGCGCCTGCCTTCCTGCAGCAGTTCTGTAAGCATGGGCACACAGCACGAGTTTGTACAGATCTCTGCTCAGGGACCTCAAGGCACAGGATTACCCACACATGCACACACAGGTCCCTATGAGCTTGTTCGGGTGGGCCAGCAGCCACGGGAGCAAGTGAGAACACCAAGAGGGTCACAGTCAAACCCAGCACCACATCAACAAAGCCATGTGAACACGCGTGCTCACAGCCCCACAGGCAACGTCCAGCACCTGCCCTGCAAGCGCCAGCATGTCCCAGCTGCACAGCACTGCACGCATGTGGCAACAGGTCTGCCGTGCTCGCACTGCTCTAAAGTTGAGCTACCGATGAGCAGCGAAGGCTTTGCAGAGCGCTGCAGGGTAGAATGCCCGAACATTGCACATGGCACCGCCAGCAGAGGGACTGCGGGAGCTCGGCAGAGCCGGCAGCATTCCCATGCTCAGGGCAGCACGAACAGTAGCTGAAATCCCAGCCAGCAGCAAACCCTCCGCCTCCCCAGCAGTCTCCTGACGGCACCCTCTCACCTCTCAGGTTACACGTGCATCTGTCCCGGGCTGTTTTCTGGTGAGCGCTGTGAGCTGGGGGACAGCCCCTGCGAGTCCAAGCCCTGCCTGCACGGCGGCACCTGCGTCCTCTCCGGCTCCGGGTACTCCTGCCACTGCCCCGAGTGGTACCTGGGCGACAGGTAAGGGCTGAAAGGGCCAGAGGGCTCCCATGGAAGGCTGAAAGTGTGACCTCAGCAACGAGCGTTGTGCGCTTCTGGAGCTCATTGCATCCACCTGGGAGCAATGCAATGCCGGGCTGCCTAAAAACAGGCGTAGGACGCTGCCAGCTGTCCTGCTGATCCCTTGATTGCTGAGCTGCACGGGATATACCTCCCCACCTGATACGTGGGTGAGTGCATGCCAAATGCCTGCAGCCCTGGGGCTGCTCGGAGCTCAGGGCAGCATCACAGCAGCTCCTCCTCCCGGCCGGGTCGCTTGGCCAGGATGGACACCGGCGCTCTGAATCAATGCCGAGAGAGGAATCAGTAGCGCAGCTCCGGGCGTTAGGTGGCAGTGCGATGATACCTGCGGTCATCAGTACTGCGGGCACAGCCATTGGGCACGCGTTGGGCGGACCAGCTCGCGCATCTCCAGCCCTGGCTGAGAAATAAAAGAATGAAAAAACTCGCAGGGCTTCTTCAGTAACAGTAACGTGGGGAAAAAAAAGAAAGAAAAAAAAAAAAAAGAAAAGCCACTTATTGCATATCCCTCCTAATATGGGAGGTCATTGCTGCTGGAAGGGATAGAAGGAAAATCTGTCCTGCTGGAGAGTGGGAAAGGGGAATACTTAGAGTGTGTGGGGTGCAGAAGGGCAGAGTATCAAAATTCAGTCTCAGCTCTGTATATACTCCATCAAACACCTCCCCAGAAGGGGCTGTTCTGCATAACATGGCCTTCTTCTGAACAGCACCGTGGTAAACGTCAAGATCTGCTGACAGCAGAGGTAATTGGCACTCTGCGCCAGGACAGAGCATCCCTGTGGCATAAAGCAGAGCTCAGAGCAGGATGCCATGTGTTGGGCCCCCCCGAGCTGATGCCTCTGTCTCCATCCCCCCAGGTGTGAGAAGCTGGCTGAGGAATGCCAGGACAACCCGTGCCACAACGCCGGGCGCTGCGTGAGCGCCCAGGGCTCCATCCGCTGCATCTGCCCATCGGACTACCAGGGGGACTACTGCACGCAGCCCATCATCACGCCTGCCATCGTGCCCACGCACTGGGCCGTGGGCCCTGAGGAGATTGCTGAGATCGCAGCAGGCGTGCTGGGGGCAGCCATCCTGGCCGTGGCCTTCGTGCTCATCCGCAAGCGTTACCGGCACCGGGCCAAGGCCCACAAGCCAGTGGCACGGGAGGACCCTGACCTGCTGTCCAAGAGCGAGTTCTCCAAGAGCGTGGGTGTGGGCACCCAAGCGGTGCCGCCCATCGAGCTCAACATCCTCAGCGACGCGGCCCACAACAATTTGGACCGGGTGGCGCCGGAGCAGCGCAAAGCCAGCGGTACCCCTGAGTTTGTCACCTTCAACTCGGCCAACGGGCCCAAGCATCGCGGCACCATTGTGTGCAGTGTGGCACCCAACTTGCCCCCGGCTCCCCCGTCCAACTCTGACAACGAGTCCTTTGTCAAGTGCACCTGGGCCAGGGAGGAGATGGGTCAGTAGCCACAGCTTGCTCTTGCTTTTATCCCTGGGGGAGCGGATGGAAGGTTTGTGAATGTGGGAGGCCAACAGTGTGGGGTAAAGACGAGAAAAACGTGGGCCAATGATGTCCAAGTCCTTCACTGGCTCTTCCCTCACTCATAAATAGCAGTATTCAACTTCAGCTTGTTCAGTTCTCTACAAAATCAGCAAGGAATGCATTAATGCATGGCCTGGGTTCCCACACACTCAGGCTAAAAAGTCTCTATAAAAGAGAAAAGCGATGATTAGAGAGTGGAATTCAGTGTGAGTTTTAGTGGCATCCCTTGCATCAGCTGCCAGAGGGATCACAACAGAGAGAAACAGCCCCAGGCAGCCAGGTCCCTGCTTGGCCTGGCCCAGAGCTCACTGGGAGCTCAGCAGCATCAAGGACAGCTGCCAGAAGGAAGTGCCCAAGTCAGAGTCATAGATCATCCCATGTTGGAAGGGAGCCGTGAGGATCACCAGGTCCAACTTCAGGTCCACACAGGGCCACCCTAAAATCAGATTATACCAGACATAGAAAGAGAGGTACAAAGGGAGAGCTCTAGTGAGTCACTTGCTCTGCCCCATCCCATCATTGTGCCAGCTTCTCGCACCCATGTGGCATGATAAGAAGTGCCTTTTAGGTACCAGTGGGAGCCCCGAAGCCCCCTTCATTCCCAAGGCAAACTGGCACATCTCCTGCAGCTCAGGCTCATGCAGCAGGAATTAGCAGGAGGAGGAAAGCAGCTCACACAGCTAACACAGCTCTGTTTCCTTCCAGTGTACCCAGCAGAAACAACCTACTGGCCGCCACGCTACCTTTCCTCTGACGTCCAGGAATACTCCCACTACGAGATCATCCAAGGTCCCCCTGCCGTGCCCTCCTCCCATCCCCCACTCCCCCCACCACCCCCTCCACCAGCAGACCCGGAGCCAGTCACTCTCTATGGGGGTTTCCCTTTTCCACTGGACCAAAGCAACAAGCGGGCACCCATCCCTCCCCGCTACAGCAACCAGAATCTGGAGGATCTCCTACCACTGGGCCCCGTGGAGACGGCAGCATCCCAGTGCCAGAACGAGTACACAGCCATCAGCTATTACCCAGCCCAGCTGGTGCAGGGTGAAGGTGCCCCTTACCCACCCGACCCCGGCTACAAGCGGGTGAGCATGCGGCTGAGCGTGGCCCAACCTTCCTATGCCGACTGTGAGGTGGGGGCCCATCCGCCCGCCCTTCGCACCCAGCCCCCACCACCCCCCAACTATGAGGGCTCCGACATGGTGGAGAGCGACTATGGCAGCTGTGAGGAGGTGATGTTCTAACGCAGGGACTCGTCCTTGGGATGAGGAGAAGCGCCGGAGCTGGCACGTGGTACCAGGGGAGTTGGCAGTTCCCCTGGCCCAGCTTGCAGCATCTCCCCCTGCATGGCTGGGCTGTAATTTGGCTGGATCCTTGTCCCTGCACTGCACACAGAGGGGAAATGCTCCAGCCACAGCCGGGACGTGGAGAATGCTCCTGGATGCCAATGACTAACGCACCTTGTGGGCACTGCACATCTCCCACCCTGTGCTGCCCGGCCATGGGGAGGAGCAGAGCAGCACCACAGGGACAGCAGTGGTGGAAGAGGCACGGAAGGACCAGCAATGGCCAAGCCCAGGTGGCACGCAGGTCATCCTGCATCCAGCTCTGGCACTGAGAGTTTGCATCAGGGCGATGGTTTGCTCAGTGGGACGGTGCAATTGGTGCACAGCCTCTTCTCCATCTGTTCCCCAGGGTGAGAGATAGGAATATGCAGCCAGTGCCACCAGCACATCCTCACTTGGCGAAAAGAAGTCCATGAAAATAAACTTAAATCCATTTCTATAGAAGAACCAAGCACCAAGGAGCAGACTGAAACCTGCTGCAGGGCACCCAGCCCCAGGGCTGCAGGCACAGAGACTGGCACAGAGCCATGCCCGCAGCTCTCTTGGCCCCCAGCTGGTGACAGCAGTACCCAGCCTTGCCACCCCCTGCAAGGGGTCCTGGGTCTGTTATATCCCAGATGGACCAAACAAACTGTGCCCATGTGGGTTCCAGGACGGGCACTAAGTGCTGCCCACAGGCTGGCCCATCCGTCCTCCTGCTTGGGATTGTATTGTTTTTTGTGAGAGGTTTACTTTGGTCGGTTGTTTGATGTAATATCTTTTTGCTGTTTCATTGATTTTTTTTGTTTTTTTTTTTTTTCCAAAGTTTTAAAAGAATTGGTTTTTTTTGTTTGTTTGTTTTTTACTATTATGATTTCATCAAATAACTCCGATTCCTTTGCAACTAGGACTGTGGCTCCAGCAAAACTCTGCCCTGAGAGCACCACCTCAGTCTGCACAGCAGAACCCCAGCACTGCACTGGTGCAGCACTTGCAAGCAAGGCCACGTTTCCCAAAGCCATAGGAAGTCACTGGTGCTGACAGCACACTGCTGCCCCAGCACCCCGCTGAGGTCCCCTCACATCTCCCAGCCTTCCTGCTCCTCTGGGTGTGGGGGAGAGAAACCCCACCTCATCCCAGAGCCTTTCCACGTAAAAAATAACTCTTATTTATTGATTAAAGTGAGATACATGATTCAGGTGCTGCAGCAGTAGGCAGCGACCCACACTGACAATATCCATAGGCACACAACACAGACATTAATCACCTTTGTATATACACAATTCCCCTGGTCACAGAGCAGCTACAACACACAAGTGTCACATTTCTGTGTCCCCTTGGTCCCGTACCAGGTCCTCCTGGTAACCCATGTGTTTCCCACCAGCCCACTGTGCTTTAGCCCAATAAAACCAAAAAACTCCACCGGACACTGCTTAACATTGCCACAGTGCCCTGTGAGTGCAAAGCGAGCTCAGTGCTATGCACCACTCCAGCAAACCCAGCAACCCCAGTGCTGGGGACACAGCCATCACACAGCTGTACCCCAGAACAGGGCCGTCCCTCCTGTTGGGACTGCCAGCCATCCCCTCCCAGGGGACAGCAGTGCCAGCCCTGGGCACGGATTTTGTGCCTCTCCCACCTGCAGGGAGCCCAGAGCCCTGCTGGCTGCTTGCACACCATTCTGTGTGCCTTTCCCCTCCTGAGTGCAGCTGCACCACCATGAAATACCCAATGGAGGATTCATTTGCTCTCATCTGCCTTCAAAAAAAAAAAAAAAAAAAAAAAAGAAGCAGCAGAAAGGCAAAGTGTGGCAAGGCCAGAGTCTGTGCCCCCAGCGTGCACCTGCCCCAATACCAGCAGCAGGAGGGAGCAGTGCAACGGGCTGCCTCCTGCTGGGATCTGCCACTGGGGCCAGGAGGGAAAACAACATGATCAGTGTTCTTATTGGGGATGTGACATTCAGTGGAGGACTGCAGATGCAGCCAGAGCGCAGCAAACAAGGTGCTGTGTTTCTGCAGAGCGTGGGCTCTGCACACCTGAATTCCTAATGCCAAAAACCATGAGGGGTATATGTGTGCAGGGAGAAAAAAAAAATGAACGAATAGAACCTTCCACGGCAGCCCTCTCTGCACGAAAGAGCTGGAAACCAGAGCACAGCAGGACCTGCACCAGCAGTGCTCACACCCAGTGCTGCTCTACATCCCCGAGGGCCGGGGTGAGGAGGCAGCTCTGCACCTCCAACCTGAGCCGAGGTTTCTTTGTTGCTGTAAAATAAAGTGCTGCGGGGTGGGGGGGGGGGGGTACGGGGGAAAATAAAAACAAAACAAGACAAAAAAAAAAAAAAACAACCAACAAACTGGCACGGAGAAGAGCAGTCCCAGAGCGATGGGATGGGGGCAATATGGGAAGGATTACAAAATAAAATAAAAATAAAAAATAAAAGTCTACACCCCCAGGATCCCCCCCTCCCCAAAGTAACTACGTACAGGAGTGTGGAGGGGATGAGTGCTGTGCCACCCACACCCCTCGCAGCCCAAACCCACCACGTTCTGCAGGAGGAGAAGGCTGAGCACCCGGTCTGCGTGCCACCACCAGCAGGGACCGTCACTGCCCCGAGGTGCTGGTGCCATTGATGACAGTAGCAGGAGTAGCCAGCTCCACCAGCGCCTCGTAGGTGCCCACCACGAAGCCAACGAAGCCAAAGAGGCTGATGAGCACGTCCTTGGCAATGAGCAGAGGGTGCATGCCCTCTGTGTAGTAGGTGGCGATCTCCAGCAGCGGGGGGAAGATGAGAGCCAGCGCGCTGCTGCTGACCGAGCCCACCAGCGAGATGACGATGTCCAGGCGGGGGATGAGGATGGCCAGCACGCCTGGGGAGGGGAGAGAGCAATGGGGTGGTCAGGAGCTGACAGGATCACAGAACCGTTTGAGTTGGAAGGGACCATTAAAGGCCATCTGGTCCAACTCCTCTGCACTGAACAGGGGCACCCACAGCTCCGTCAGAGTCCCTCCAGCCTGACCTTGGGTGTCTGTAGGGATGGGGCACCACCACCTCTCTGGGCAACCCGTGCCGGTGCCTCACCACTCTTATCATAAAAATCTCCCTTAAGCCTTCTCTTCTCAGTCTGTCCTCTAGGGGAGGTGTTCCATCCCTCGGATCACTTTGTGGTCCTCCTCTGGAGGAAATCCAACAGATCCATGTCTCTCCTGTACTGAGGACTCCACGTCTGGACACATTACTCCAGGAGCAGGACCCTGCTCTGAGCTTGGAGCTGTTGAAGCAAAGCTGTCCCATGCCACTGCTTGCAAGCTGACTCTGCAACTTTCTCTGAGCTTTGAACAGAAAGCTGTGTGCTTCCAGTAACAGCTCCCCAAGCAATTAAGGCTTTTCACTGAGCTAATGAATATATACGCTGCCGCAGAGGGCTGCACCCAGCAGAAGGGTGCTGCTCACAGAGTCATCCCCAGCCCCATCTCCCCTGCACCCCCCAGGTCTCTGCCTCACACCTGGGGAGCTGTAAAACCTCAGAGAGCCCACAAAAAGAGGAGGCGTGGGGAAAAGCCCACCCTGAACGAATGTGTGTGGTTGGTAAGCAGTCAGAGCCCCTCTGCCCCCTGAGCACAGCCTAGGGGGGAACATTTGCAGCAAAGGAAAATCCCCCAGGAGCCTCCTTCCAGCTTTCAATGAGTAGCTGCAAACTCCGCAGCATTCATGCTCCAAGAGCACCCGCAGCAGCAGGCTTTGGGCAGCACATCCTCAGCCAACCCCCACAGCACTCTGTGGGCTCCCAACAAACAGAATGAACCCCCTCCTTCCCCTAAAACAGAGCTGAAGTGCCAGCTGCAGCCTCTGCCTCTGGGGGAACGGCCGTGCTTCCCGCAGGGATTCGTTCCAAGGGGTTTTAATGGTGCTGGGTTTGAAGTCTGAGCTTGAAAGACACCCATACACCAAATTGCATCCTCTCTTTGGAAGCCAAAGCCACGATGTTCTGTGGCCACATGCTCAGGCCATGAATATTCACACAGCCCCCCAATTGCTTTCATCCTTGCCAACAGCAATTTCTTATATGAAAAGATAAGGAGAGGAGGTACAAAGGCACCTACGTCCTTCCAATACCCTGCTGCTTTTCCACCCCAAAGCAGTGGGCACAAGTGCTGCTGTCAGCCCTGTTCCCAGTCTGGTGCACCCCAACTTCTGAGCCTCTCCAGCACCAGAGAGCCCAATGGGATCTCAACTCTGTGGGGCAGGAGGGACAGGGCCCAAGATCAAAAGTTCCTGAAGCTCTGCCACGTGAGGGTGGAAAATGGCAGAACAGACACTGAGAGGTTTTTCTCCTCTCGTTTTGAGGAAATGAAAGGCAGCCAAGATCAAAGCTTCCTCTTCTCACGCGCTGAGCAATAATGGGATGAGGAAGCAACTTTGGCTGCAGAGCAGACACGGACACACAGCTCCTGGCCATGATGCAGCCAAGCCCAAACCAGAGCTACTGAGACACAGGGTCAGGTCTGTAATGCTCAGCTTTGATGCACTGGCAGCACCACGCCATGCAGGAACGCTGTGCTTCAGGGGGGCGATGCCTGGAAGCTCAGTGAAGCATCTCAGCTGTGCTGAGAACAGCCAAGACTTCATTTACAGGAATCAAAGCCAGCCAAAAATCAGACACCCCTGTGCTTCACTGAACTGATGCCCCTTAAGCTTCTACAAACTCGCTTTTCTCAGCTCAGATTTTTCCCTTTAAGCAGACAGATAGGCCAAACCTCATTCCCAACTGCTAACACCATGAGTTCGACCGAACTTCAAACTCCTGGGAGCAGCTGCACATAACAAGTTACTTCTGCAGCAAGCAGCAGGCTGTACCTTAGTGCAGAACTGGGACAGACCACAGCCCTCCAAGAGGTCTCTGAGCTCCTATAGCCACTAAAAGCCACCTGAAAAAGCCTTCCAAGCCCTCAACTACAAGCTGGAGGAGCAGAGGGTGCCCCCAAGTCTTGCTGTTCTAGCCAGCACATGGCTTTTGGGTGAGAAGAGCTCATCTTGCTGCATCTGCACCCTTCCAAAGCTCCAACGCGGGCTACCCAACGTTGGGCTTAGTACCCAGATCAGCTGCTGGGATGCATCCTACAAAACCTGATGGGACTTGATGGCTCCTCCAAATTCACTGGGACTCAGATAGCGGGACAAAGGCTCTGGGACAGGCTGCTTTCTACTCACAGGTGATGCCGACCAGGACCACCCGCAGCAGCAGGTTGACCAGCCAGCCCCAGCGCTCCGGCACACGGGCAACCAGTGGCGGGATGATGATCTCAGCGGGGACGTAGAACTGCACAGCGTAGGTGAAGAAAATCCCAAAGGAGAAGAGCAGCTTGACAGCTTGGTACAGCCTGCAAATGAGAAGGAGAGAACAGTGAGATGTGCTCCTGCGCCAGTCCAGGAGTTGGACTCAATGGTCCTTATGGAGTCCCTCCAACCTGGGAGATACTATGATTCCAAATCCATAAAGCAGAGCAGGAGCACCCTGCCTACAAGGACTTCTGCATCTCAGCTCTTTTTCTTCTGGCACAGGAAGAGCTAATGACACCTCTTGTGCAAGAGACAGCAAGGAGATAGCACAACATCCAAGCCATTGCAACATGCCCACACCTAATTAGAGGCTACAGCTCTTTGTAAGGAGCAGCAGGTCAACAGTGGGGCCAGCAGCTTCCCAAGTGCTGCTTCCCCTTGGGAAATCTCCTGGGCACAGATGCAAAGGGCTGTTTCAAAATAAAAGCAAATCATACAGAGTGGTGTTCTGCTCCTAACTCCTCCCAAGGGCACGGGGATATCTGTTATGTCCCTGGCCTGGGGGCTGGAGCCCAACTTGCTCCTTGACACAAGGCACTCATCTACATTTCTAGACACTCACGTGTGCCAGCACTGCACAAATCAATGCATCCTGCAGGGTCAGCACTGCCCACAGAGGGGTGCAGGCTCTGGCTTCCTGACAGGTCAAGGTCTGCAGTGACACAAGGTGACCGCACGCAGACAACACCCAGATACCCAAGCATTAGGAAACACCCCGACCACAGAGATGGGCAGCAGCATCGATACTGCCCGCAGCCTGCAGTACCCGCTCTCAGCCCACGACCCAAAGTGGGTGTCCATCAGCCACCCCTGAGGTGGTGATCAGCTTGAGCATCACTGAGAAAACTCCACTACTGGGTAGAACAAAGGGAAATAGCTCCTTTTTTTCCTGTTTACAACCAGGTGGATTTTGTCTTCTGGGAGGACATGGAGAAGGCAAAGATAGGCTCTACTCGGGAAAACAGAAATCGGAGAGGCAGCAGAGCTGCATCCAGAAGGGTCAGTCAGCACCAGAACAGGGGCACAGGGGGGCTGGGAGTCTCCATCCTTATTGACACTCAGCATTTAAGCGGGTTCTGCTTTGAGCAGGTGGTCGGACCCAACGATCTCACCATCCTCTCTCCAAACCACATTACCCAGTGATTCTGCAGCCAACAAAGGGCAGAGCTATCAGCAGAGTCCAGAGGGCAGCACTCAGCTGAGCACATTGTGCTCCCAAGCACAGGTGCACAGTAGCCTTGAGCCAGCTATCCTATGCTCCTCATCTCCTACTGCTTGATTAAGGGAACGTCATAAAGCAATTAAGTGCTCGAAGGCAATCTATGTTTAAGAGGTGTTATTAAAATAAAATGTAAAAAAAGAAAAAGTTCAGATTAAGGCTGGGTCTCAGTTGTGCACTGGTTGGCTGAGGACAAAAGGGCAGTTTGAATACCAAGAAGGGGAAGAGCTCAAGAACCAGTTCTGACCAACAGAAAACCCAAGGCCACATGGGCATGGAAATCCTCCTTTGCCTGTAAGTTTGGTCACTGCACACCTCCAACGGGCTGCACGCAGCCAACATCAGACCCTCCTTGCCATTCAGGATGGCACCTTTCAGGGTGAAGCAACTCTGGAGGCTGTAAAGGAGTGGTATTTCAGGAGGCTGTGGTCAGCCCTGGGCACCGACTCCTCGCTCGAGGAAGCTGTGGTTACAGAGCAACGAGGCTGAAAAGCCCTGAGTCACCCTCTATCTCAACGATTCCAGTACACGTTCACTAAATGTGCTCCTGAAGACCTCCAGGCAATGGCTGCAGTGAGGGAAGGGTGCAGCATCCTCTGCTCAGATCTCACCTGCACCCACACTGATAGATCTCTCACCTCAAGCCTTTCTGACCTTTCTGCAACTGCTGTCTTGTGCTATTGAAGAGAAAACCTGCTGGCAAAGCACTTGTTCCCAAAGCAAACCTTCACCCATCACCTCCTGAGAAACAACATGCCTGGGAATAAGTCCTCGAGGCTTCAGCCTGAGTTTCCCAGCCTCTGTCCTGGTTATTTGCCTTTAACAAGACAGATAACGCATTTCCAAGTTCAGTGTTTACAGCTTACATGAGGTGTTCTGCCAGGAAGAAACATGCACTGACACTGAAGCATTCCACGCTGAGTCACTGCAGACACAGCACTCCTGTCCTGTGCTGCTGGGCTTCCCCGTGCCCTGCTGCCAAAGGGCCACGCTGCTCTGTCCTGCCTGACAGCCCTGCTCTGCCCACCCCCAACCAGAAAGATGCTCCTAGAAACACAGATGTGAGGTAGGATCTTCCCGTAGCCTGAGTCACTTTATCCTCTTCTAAAGGGAACATAAGTGCCTTCAGAGCAGACACAGCTGAGGCTGTCAGCACTATGGGTCACCTGTGAGTAGGGGCTGGCAGTGTGACCCAGCACCATGCACAGCCAGAGAACCCATCTGGAAGAACTCCCAGCCCCCCAGGATGACCACATCAGCCTCACAAACTCAAAATCCTGAATCCTGCCTAACATTTGAACGCTAAGAGCCTCCACACTTCTCTTCCCAAAGACAGAGGAGCAGCTTGCATTCCTCCTCCAGGATAAATACAGAGCACTGCACCACGCAACCACCTAATCCAAGGGAAAAATCTAAAAGGATGTGGGTGACAGCTCCTCCAGGTGGAGGAGGACAGCTCCTCCAGGTCCTCCAGGTCCCACTCCAGGCTCACCTGGGCAAGTAAGGACAACATCCCTGGGCAGCACTCACCAGCAGTTGGGCAGGTTGAGTGTTATGCTGGCCTGGATGGCCGCCCCGAAGCGCAGGTAGCCCAGCACACCCAGGCTGATGTACAGGATGGTAACGATCGTCATCCCCACATAGAGGATCAGAGGGAACTGCCGTGGGTTCTTCATCTTGTTTTCCAGAGGCAACACCTGCGAAAGGAGCAGGAGGAAGAGGAGGATGGAATAGGAGCCCCTTCCCATTCCTCTGCGTTGCCAGCCCTGTGGAACAACCATGGGGCTGAGGGCTGCCCTCTGCAACCAGGGCTGTGCACAGAAATCTGGAGACCCCACCAGCTGCTGCCCCAGAGATGTGAATCCTCTGCTCCCAGCCCAGTGGGACAGTGCCTTACAGTTATTGCTCACAGCACAGACTGAAAAGGCTGAAACCCTTCATCCTCTCCCTGCACGTATCTATGGGCAGATTGCAAACAGGTAAGGCAATAAAAAAAAGAGGATAAAAAAAAAAGAGCAGGGACAACCCCCTGCCTTTATACTACTATTTGCTTCAAGCATTTCAGCAACTTTTTTTTTTTTTTCTTTTTTATAGCCATCCTTGGGTGGTGGGCATTTCAAGGAAAGAGACAGGGACACAGCTGCTGATGTAGCAGGATCAGAATAGGTTTTATGTGCTGCTCTACCTCCCAGCTGTGCACGTGTGTGTGTGTGTATGTGTGTGTGTGTGCACCAGCTCCAGCACGATCCCTCTGTCCTGGGCACAGCCCTCCCCAAATGCCCCTCCTGCAGGGCCCTGGCATGCTGCAACCCCATGTTTACACTGCTATCTCATATTATGAGATAAAAACACTTTTTTTCCTCCTTTGAAGGGAGCTCCGGAAACAACCCGCAGCATCTCAGTGGGCCATTATGCTTCCCACCCACCCCGCCTCCTTCCCAGCTCCTCTGTTTACAGCAGACGCAGCCAACCCGCTCCTTTTATCTTTTTGTTGCCCTCTTTCCTTTTTTATGTTTTAATAAAAATTATAAAGAAATAAAAAGAGTTTTCCTACTTATATACATTAACTATATGGTGTGTACTTTATGTGCAGCCCAAGACAACTCCCCCAGTGCGGCGCAGACCAGCCTGAGGTGGGATGCATACCTTTACAGCCTCATACACAAGGCACATGCCAGGCTGGCGCTGTGTGGCTGAAGGAAGGTGATGCCAGCAGAGAGAGAAATGGATCATATGTTGCTGTGCTATGCTTTTGCCCCAAGACTCTGAGCACCAAGAGCCAGGACCTGGCTCTAATTGTGGAGCCTAAGGCTTTGTGAAGCTCCTGAAGAGCACAGCTCACAGCACCCACCTGAGGTTTGAAGCGCACACAATGAAGTTTGACCCAGGAGACAGCCTGGAGCCAACAGCATCACCCAGAAGCTGGGCTACAACCTGAAAAATCCATCTGCAAATACAGCTGCGGTGCAGAGCAGGTGCTGACTGCAAGCCCGAGCGGGGGCTGAGCCACACACCAGGACTTACCACCCCGATGCCTTCAAAAGCAAAGATGGCCGTGCCAAAAAACAGAGGGTAGGTCTTCCAAGCTGCTGCAAGAGGCAGGGTGCTGGGATCGGGGATGTCCTGGAAGACAGCCCACATGCAGCTCAGAGCACTGCTCATCCCCACAGCTCCCTTCCCCACGGGGCAGAGGGAAAGGCCACTACACAACATCAACACCCCAACCCCACCACCAAGCTCTGCCAACACACAGGGCATCACAACGTACCCTGACAATGTACTGGTAGATCACAACAAGGCTGACGAGCATGGCCACGTTGGCCAGCATGGAAAAGATGGACAGGATCTTGAGATTCTGGATGAAGGACAGCAGCACCACAAAAGGCAGCAGGGACAGCATGTAGAGCCGGGAGTCCATGGTGGGTGTGAGGGTCACCGTCCTGTTGGAGTGGCAGTCAGTGGTGGTGCTGTTGGCAGAGGACACAACCTGGGAAAGCACAGGAATGCCTGATGAATCCCACGGTGATGGATGCTGGAAACCCACCCCAGGCCAGGCAGATTAACTCTGCTTTTCCTGATAAAAGTCATTCATCCTTCCCTTAGGCTCTTTCACCCCATAGGCACTTTCAGGCCTATGTGCTCTGTGTTCTCAGCTCCACAGAAGGCTCTGCCCCAGGAACTGGGTGGCTGAGCCTCCCCAGAGCACAGGCATGCTGCCCACTGCCCATCGCTGACAGCAGTGCACCCAGCCCCACGTAAGGAGGCAAAGGGCACAGCTGTGGTGGGAGGAACCTGACTGTGGCTGTAGAAGCACACAGGGGCAGTGATGCTCAGCATCACCTGCAAAGCACCGAGCCATGCAGGGGCTGTGAATGGGGAGGGATGTACTGGCAGCTTCCTGCAGCACAGGAGCCAAGGCAGGTTCAAGGTTTCTGTTTATTTTCTCCCAATGCTTGGCAGAAGGAAACTCATCCAACACAACCTGTAATTAAGCTCCAGGGCCACAGGATGAGGCAAAAAAACGGAATGCAAACAAGACTGAAAGAGGTTCATGCCATGCCATTGTGCACTGCTGTCCATACGGAGTATCGATAAGGCAATTAGCGAGCTGGGCTGCACATCAGAAGCACAGTGCTTCCTCTGTGACCCCATTTCTGCATCCCCTCCCAGGAAGGAGCCTCTGCTCCTCTTGGCCAATACAGGCAGCTCTGAGCCATCTTCACAAAATCGCAGGGCATCTCAGAACTGCTCAGGATTTGTGCCTTCCAAAGCAGCACCCACTACAGAAACCAAAGCTTTGTTGAGGGAAGAGCTAGGACACAGAGGGAGCCTCACCTGCCTCAGGTTGTCAGCCAGAAAGACAAAGTACACACAGCAGAAACCCAGCTGAGTGAGGATCAGGAAGAGTCCCACCACACGCCTAGGAAATGAAAAGGGCACTCAGCAAGGGGCCATTCAGAAATAGGGGCACGCCTGGGTTAGTTCAAACTCAGCTGCAACGCTCCGTTCCTCAAAGGCTGGGACGTGCAGGCCACTTCTCTTCCATGCTTGGAAAAGCAAACATACCCCCAACCAGCCCCACGGACCTTGGGCCCCCCCATCCTCACTTCCATCCCTCAGTCAGGTCAGCACCAGCTAACACTGCCACATGCATTATTCCCTCATTTTTAATCAGAGACTCACGGAATCATTAACAATGGAACAGGCACCTAAGATCCCCAATTCCAACCCCAGCCCATCCCCTCCATGCCCATACCTACATCCCTCAGTGCCACATCTCTGTGGTTCTTAAACACCTACAGGGATGGTGACTCTCCCACCTCTCTGAGCAGCAGTGCCACTGCATCAGTGCTGCTTCTGATAAATGTTTCCTAAACTGCAGCCTGAACCTTCCCTGGCACAATGTGAGACCATAATCTCTCATCCTCCCAACACTGCAGATGCTTCTCCCACCCTTTCAGTACTATACTGAAGTAAGAGCATGTCCCTTAAGGCTCGCCTGCCTAAGTGAAAGATCCCAGCGTTTCCCTCTTATTTTCCTGGTGCTGTCTGCCAGCACTGCCCCAACATCAGCTATAGCCAAGCCCTGCCCTGGGGGCAGCAGTACCTTCCCCAGATGGCGTGTGTCCTCAGCCAGGCAATGGGTGTTGACTCCAGCCCATACATCACAGTCCCCCCGTAGTCCAAAAACTGCTTCTGGAACCTGTCCAGTATGGGGAGAGAGAAGAAAGGGATGTCACTTCAGTCCCACCTGCTGGCTCCCATGGTGGCACTCATGGGTAGACAGCTGGTGATAAAGCCCCAAAAACGACTCCTGGCTGAGGCTTCACGTGGGCAGCCTGCTGCTGGGAGGCTCCAGGGAAACCCCAGGAGCCAGAGGGAAGGATGGAAGAGCTGTGGGAGGCCAGGTGCTGCTCCTTACCTGTAGCAGAAGTGATGGGCGCATTTCACCAGGATGCTCATGCAGTGCACAGCCACAACACCCATCACCAGCAGGCTCAGAGGACCCAGCTGCAAGGAAGACAGGGGAGAACAATCCCAGAGGAAGTCCCAGATATGTGAGGAACAAGCATGTTGTGGCAGTTAGGATGTCGCAAAACACCAATACAAACTGTTTTTCAAACTATCTTGTGCACTGCTATTACAAAGGAAGCATAAGCTGGATAAAAGCAAAAGGTTTTCTGGACTATTTAATCCTTTCTATTTCCATACAGGGCACAGCATGGGGAGCACACAGCAACCCCAGCAAGCCACAAGATGAGGAGCTGCTTACCAGGATGCCGGCATTCTTCAGAGCCAGGGGCAGCCCCAGCAGCCCGGTGCCAATGTTCCCTTTCAGGAGATGGATCAGGGTCTGGTACCACCTGAGGAACAGAAGTAGAAGGAATCATAGAATCACAGCCCCAGCTCTCAGCCTGTCCTTGCAGGATTTTTGGGACCCTCCTCTGGACACACTCCAACACGACCACGTCTCTTCCGCACCGAGAGCTCCGTACCTGGATGCAACACTCCAGAGGAGGTCCCACCAGCACAGAGGGGCAGGATCACCTCCCTCACCCTGCTGGACGCAGCCCCCCGCTCTCCCCCACCCCAGGTGCACACTCACGTGGTCCCGTTGCTCTCCCCAAAGCGCTGGTAGGACTCGGGCCGTGTGAAGCCATTGATGCCCGCAGGCGGGCTGCCCTCCGGGGTCACATCAGTAGAGCTGTAGTCATTGTAGTCCTCGCTGCGCAGGCGTCGAGTGGACATGGCCCCTGAGGATGGAGCAGCATCAGCAGGGACATCCGGCCCTGTGGGAACACCGGGCTCCATGGGGACACGGGGCTCCATGGGGACGCCTGGCTCTGCCACCGTGGGTTCTTTGCCATCAGCCATGGCAGGAGGGATCAACTGCTGGTAGTGCAGCTGGCAGCATAGCTGGCATTTATAGGGCAGTGTGCCCGCCCCGGCTGCCAGCCACGTGGCCCCAGGTCAAAAGTCCCAAGCACTTAATGCTGGGCTGCTGCTCCCGTTACGGGCACTCCCACGGGGTGTCCCTTTGCAGACACCCACAAGGAAACGGCCCGCATCCTGCAGCACGGGTGTGCTTCCATAGCCCCAATCCTCCTGACCTTCCCCTGCACAATTTCACTTCTCTCACTCCCTCCTTCAGCCCCCATCCGGGTTCCAAAGGACATTCCGGGACACGGGGACCCGTTTGTCCCCAGGCCGAAGGGGGCAGCAAGCAGCGAGCACTCCTCGGTGCCACCACCTCAAGGGTCCCCAAAGGCAGCACAGCGCAGCGCCCATCATCACCGCAAACCCAACCACGCCGCTCTCAGCATTGCAACCCAGCATCGTCACTTCACCCGGGGCCGGAGCAGCGTGCAGCAACCGGCCCACAGAGCAGCAACGCCAGGCTCAGGGCAACCCGGCAACGCCATAAATCACAGCGCGGCCACGTCACGGTGCCCAGGGCCAGCCGAGCGATGCGAGCAGGTGAGGATTGCGGCCGGAGTTTACACAGGGAGCCGTTCGTCATCGGCGACGGGCAAGCAGCGACGCGGGAGGGGACGCCCGTCCCAGATAACCAACCTGGTCCCGTGCACCCCGTGCGTTCCCGTTCCCCACTCCCCAGCCAGCCCGGCTGCTCTCAGCGGGGACGCTCAGGCATCACCCAGCAGCGCGCCGCTTCCACGCGTGTTTCTGCTCCACGCGCAGCGGAGATCACCAGCCGGAGGCAGCTCACAGCTGGCATCGCCCGCATGCCGCTTCCCCACGAGCCGTCAACCACCCCGGGCCCCATAAGCTGCTGCTGCCGCCGCCCCACCCCGCCCGGCCCCGGCCCCGCACCTCGCCGCCGCCCCGGCCGGCCGGCCCCACTCCTTCGGCCGCGCCGTCACGTGACAGCCCGCTCAGCTGACCGCGCCGGGCCGGCGCATGCGCACGGGGAGAAGTGAAGGCGAAAAGGAAGGAGCGGGGCGAGCTGGGAGTTATGGCGCCCCATCGTGGGCGTGTAGCGGAGCGGCGGTCCTGAGGTGCGGGGATGGACGAGGGGCTTGGAGCGCCCTCTGGCGTGAGCAGCGTATCACTGCAGCGCGTCCCACCGGTATGGCCCACCAGCGTATCACTCAACGTGTCCCACCGGTGTGCCCCACCAGTGTATCCCACCACTGTGCCCTGCCAGAGTGCCCCTGCAACATGCCTCACCAGTGTACCTCTCCAACATGTCCCACTGGTGTGCTCCATCAGTGTTTCCCACAAGCAAGTCCCATTAGTATGGTTCCACCAGCCTGTCTAACAAACATGTCCCACCAGTATGTCCTGCCAGAGTGTCCCACCACCGTGTCTTACTAGTATGCCCCACCAGAGCCCCACCAACACACTGCACAAGCAAGTCCTACCAGTATATCCCTCCAGTACGTCCCACCAGTAAGTCCCACCACTGCGTCCCTCCAGCATGCCTCCCCCCAGTGCCACCCTAGCACAGCAGTTGGCCTCATGGTCAGTCTACAGCACCCAATACCATTGCCCCCACACAGCACTCATACCCACACCACCTCCAGTTCATCCCAGCCTCTGCCCCCCCAGCACCACAAAGCACCAGCTCCACATTGTGGCAGAAAGATTTATTAAGAACCCGCCTGAAAGGAGGGTGTCATTAGGCATGGGCTGTGAGCAGGTAAGCAGGGTGGGAGGGTGAGTTCTTCTCCAAGCAGAATGACCCCATGCTGCAACTGAGTGAGATGGGGAGAGCTCGGGGCACAGAGCACGGGGAGAACAGCTGCAGGCAAAGTACTTCCCACTGCTCCATGCTGGAATTAAGGCACACACAGCGCTGGGAGGAAGAGCAACCCTACAGGGTGTTGGGCAGAAGTGATCAATGAGGTGGTGGTGATGGGCCACTTGCACCTCCAGAGCTGATACAGGCATGGGGGGGTGGTCAAACTGGTGTCAGCCAAGCTGAGGGGTCCCCAGATAGGGCCTGGGCTGCTGGTCCTGTGCTGGAGTGCAGCACCCTGCCCCAGCTCAGTGGGCAACATGAGATGAGGGGGACCTGCATCTGTACTTCAGTACAGGTGGGTGTGGACACCTGCACAGCTCACCCTGCCCCCCTCCAGCCCCTGCATTCTCCACGTATTCCTTCCTTTCCACCTTCAAGAAATATTGCTTTTCCCTGGAATGTTTTTGTTTGAAACTCCCTTGATGGGATTAAGAAAATTAAAAAATAAAATAAAAAAAAAAGGTAAGAGAATAAAAAATTGGTAGCCCAAAAGGCTGGGGATAGGCTCCAAAGCCACCCCTTCCTGGGGAGCTGGGGACACTCGTGGTGAGGTGGGGGACAGAGGGACAGTGAGGGGGGACCTTCTATGTTTGGCAGGAGAAGATTTACCATGAGGGTACAACAGGGGACCTCCTCCTGGCAGCAGAGTCTCTGACCCTGCAGGTACGGGGCTGGGCAGAGATCCTGAGCCCACCCAAAGCTTTCCTCTCCTTCTGCTTCAAGTGTCAGTTTGGGGCCACACAGAGGGACAAGGTGGTAGAGGTGCATGGACAGACAAGGCAGCAGATGCGGGATGGACACGGGATGGGATGGAGAAGGGATGAGGATGGGATGGATGGGTTGGGTTGGAGTAGGATGGGATGAGATGAATTAAAAAGGCAGCGGGGAGAGAAGAGATGCTCCCAGCCCCTCATTGGGACTTCAGGGAGAAGCCCAGTTTGATACAGGCGAGTTCCTTCCCATTGTTGCTGACCACCGCCTGCACGCGGTAGTTGCCGTTGGTCAACCAGGAGGGCAGCTCGACTTCGGGCAGGGTGAAGTCGCTGGTGGGCAGTGAGTAGGAGCCCTGCAGAGAGAGGGGCTGCGTGAGTCTACACAGAGCCTACAGCACCGAGGGCACCTGGTTGTGGGACGTACCGCCTTGAAGGGGCAGTGGCAGGGGATGCCGTAGGTGAGCAGCGGCTCCGGGCAGGACGTGCCAGGTGGGATGAGGTCGTCGAGGATGGTGCACACATCATCATAGGTGCAGCTGCCCAGCTGGTCGACGCAGGGCAGTTGGATCCAGAGATCACCCAAGGCCTTCTCCACCACCAGCACCACCTGTAAGAAGGGGCAGTGTGCACCCAGCCCTTCCCCTCCTGACCTACGGAACTTACGGGTGCCCTAATTCTGCTTTCAGTTTCTCTCATCCCATTGGTTCCTCTTCTTCCATCCGGACCCCCTGAGCAAATTTCCCCCTTCTCACTGCCCCATACAACTGGCCGGGAGGTGGCACTGTGCCCCTGACGTCCCCTAGGACCGCTGTTCCCATACCATCCCCGGGCATTTCCCAGCTCCTGGGGGGTTGTGAAGCTTGCTGCCCTCCCTCGATCCCATACTCACCTTCAGGGGGGAGGTAATGGCCGCGCTGCTGCTCACGGCCGCGCTGATGCTCAGGGTCCCCGGGATGCTGATGGGGTCGGGTGCCACCGAGAGGCTCTGGATTACGACGGGATCCTGCCTGTTACCACAGTCCTCCCAGGAAAAGCCATGAGCCTGCAGCACCAGGAAAGGCAGATCCTAAACTTTGCCCTGGATTTCTGGAGGGGCTCATCACAAACAGTAGATGACCTTCATCCATTCCAAAAAAATCCAGTGACATTTACCCTCTACGCTTCTCAAACTTCCAACTCCGTGAGCCTCAGGACATTTCAGGAACTCTCCATCAGCAAGCAATTATAACAACCCCCTTTTGTGCTCATTTTCTCCAAAACAGCGTTTCCAGGCTGTGATTTCCACCCCAGCCTGGAAACACTTTGCATGCAAAGAAGGTGAACATTATTTTTCACGCCAGCTCCAGTCACAGAGCAGGAGCTGTGAAAAGCAGCAGGAGCTGCACGCTCTCGGGGTGCTGGGGTTGGAGCAGCCCCCAGGCGAGCTCTGTCCTGGGAATTGATTCACACTTTGCACTTCAAATGGGGTTTAATATTCCCATACTCTCTGGTGCTCAAGGGAGGCTGCCGGGCCTGACTCATCCTGCTGCTCACTGCTCCTCCAGACACCTCGTGGCTCTGATGCTGAGCCAGTTCGGCGAGTGGCCGAAGGAGCCTGGGCAAGTCCTGTGGGGTAATGGAAACCCATGGGATGTCACTAAGGAGGGGGATGCAGCCTGCATGCCCTGCTGAGCACCTCGGTCAGCAGGGGGCTTGGAGTGCAAAGTGTGGAGGGAGGTGGTGCTCGGTGCCAGCAGTGCCAGCAGCTCCTTCCCCACTGGCTGCACCTTGGGCAGTCCCAGCTTCCAGGACTGGGAGAGCCAGTAGAGCAGAGAGGGTATGGAAACCACAGAGGGAAGATCAGCTGGGGCTGAAGTGGGAGGATGCCTGGGCTGTGCACCCTGAGCAAGCTTGGCTGCGGCTGCCCTGGAACTGGTGGTGGCTGTATGTCCTGGTGGGGCTGTGTGACTTCCTGAGGCTGTGTGTCCTGGTGAGGCCATGTGCCCCGCTGTATATCTGCTGCCACAGCTGCACCGCTGCCCACACAGCCTGTGTGCAGGGCAAGCCAGGACATGGGGCAGCAGCACATCCCGACTTTTGCAAGAGCCCTGAGCCCCTGCTCCTCCCCACCCGCGGGTCTGCAGGCAGAGAGGCTCCACGGGAGGGGAACTGTGCAACGTGGGTGCATGCGGCTGTGCACAGCCTCTCCTGCTGCTTCTCAGCACCCCACACAACCTGCTGACCCTCTCCCCAAGTGACATCGGCTTCTCAGGAAAACAAAAAAGAGATCTTTCCCTCCACATCACGTGAAAGTCACGCAAAGGTTCCCCAAAGCCGCCTGAGCGTTTCCCTCTGCGCGTCGGTTCTGTGTGTGGGAACCAGGGCTGCGCACCGGGAAGGCGCACAGAGGGGATGGATGGAGCCGAGCGAGAGGAGGCCGCCGGGCT